CTGGATAGCCGACCAATGGACGTTGTTATGGTTCACCAGCGCCCCCAACATGTCGTCGCTGCTCGTGAATGCCTGCCGCGAAGACGGCAAGAGAGGCCGCAACCACATTCGCCACGACGGAGGGACGACGGAATCCAGAACAGTCGCCAGCACGGAGTGGGAGTACCATCCTCCATCGCTCACGTGAAGGTCGGGGGGATCATCTGTCTGAGCCACCACAATGCCGCGTGCCACCTCCAAGTCGCCGTCCGAGAACTGCGGCGCCCCCAACAAATTGTTCAAGGCATGCCGGCCGCGCACGGGAGCGCTGCCCTGGCGCTCAAGATACCGATCGCCCCACAGGGCGCCCGCGTGCCAGGCTGGCGGCGGCGGGAGCGGCCATGGGGGCACCCACGGCTCCGCCGCCGGCGGCGCGGTGGGCCCGCGCGCGGGGCCACCCTGCCCGTCACGATGCTCGGGGCCGCGGCCGTCGGCATGCCCGTCGCGATGGCGTGCGGGTGCCTCTTGGGAATGCTCTTGGGCGCGCTCCTCCCGCTGCTCTTGCCCCTGTTCTTCGGGGTGGTTTGGCCCGCGCTCCTCCCGATGATCTGCTGGGTTGGCTTCGGCGGCCAAGCTCTTCCCCGCTGCCAGAGCCAACTTGCCCGCTTTCCCCGTTGCCAGACCCAGCTTGAGCTTCGCTCTGGAATCGGCGCATTTCGCCCACTCCCTGGCTGCGTCGAGAAAAGCCGACCATCGATCGTCGTTGCCGACCAAGCGCCGCCATTGCTGAGACCTCACGTAGCCGTCCGTCCTATCGACGTCCTCCACAGTGCGGGCAGTCAGGTTCCGTGGCAAAGGCTCCTTGAGAAGATCCCATTCTTTGTCGATCGTCATCGTGCCAGCCATAGATCCCCTCGTGTGGCCCGTGTCGACGTCGGCGACGACCGCGGGGATGGGCCGGGAAAACTCGGCCTTCGGCTTCCTGGAGTGGTTCACGCTGTGGTGCTCCTCGAACCGCACGACGCAATCCGAGCAGCGGCACTTGTAGCAGCCCGCGCCGTCTGTCATGAGCAGCAGATTGTACTTGCGGTCGCCAAGGATCTCCTTGCAGAAAGCGTGATACGCCTCGGACGATTCGGGGGCCACGCGGCCCTCGCCGGTGGATTATCGGAGGAGGGGGAGTTGACGCACTGGCACCTCAGACTCAGAGCACAATCGCCTCCCGGACCCTCCCCGGGGCCAACGAACGGACGTTTTCCGAACTGCGCCCGGCCGTGGCGACGAGAGCCCGGCCCCCCCTCCGGAGGGGACTCCGCCGGTGTCTCCAATGCCCCTCCTCTGAGATTTGCTCACGCCCAGCGGCATCATGGCGAAGTGGGACGTGCTACCTCGCTGGCGAATGCCAATGTAACAGTAATATGAATGCGTCAGCTCGGCGTTCTCCTCGGCTTTCCACTTGCAAATGACCGTGGCATCGACCTCCACCTCGACCGTTCGAGAAGAGCCGGTGCCCCACTGAATCCACCGCGCCCGCGCGGGGCGGCAGGCGTCGCCCCTCTCCCCTCGCCCCAGCGAAGGGTTCGTACCCCGGCAGTCGGGTTCTAGTAGTACTCGTAGTTAGTAGTAGTAGTAGTAGTAGTAGTAGTAGTAGTAGTAGTAGTAGTAGTAGTAGTAGTAGTAGTAGTAGTAGTAGTAGTAGTAGTAGTAGTAGTCGTAGTAGTAGTAGGAGTCGTAGGTAGTAGTAGTAGTAGTAGTAGTAAACTCGCTAGTAGTATAGTAGTATTAGTAGTCGGTGTAGTAGTAGTAGTATTTGTAGTAGTAGTGGTAGTAGTAGTAGTAGTAGTATTAGTCGTAGTAGTAGTATTGTTAGTATTAGTAGTAGTAGTAGTAGTAGTAGTAGTAGTAGTAGTACGAGTAGTAGTACGAGTAGTAGTAGTAGTAGTAGTACTAGTAGTAGTAGTGGTAGTAGTAGTAGTCGTTGTAGTAGTAGTAGTAGTAGTAGTAGTAGTGGTAGATGTAGTAGTAGTAGTAGTAGTAGTAGTAGTAGTCGTAGTAGTAGTAGTAGTAATATTAGTAGTAGTGGTAGTAGTAGTAGTGGTAGTAGTAGTACTACTCGTGGTAGTAGTAGTAGTAGTGGTAGTAGCAGAAGTAGTAGTACTAGTAGTAGTAGTAGTAGTAGTAGTAGTAGTAGTAGTAGTAGTGCTGGTAGTGGTCGTAGTAGTTGTAGCAGTAGTAGTAGTAGTAGTAGTAGTAGTAGTAGTCGAAGTTGTACTCGTAGAAAAGTGTAGTAGTAGTAGTAGAATTTGTAGTAGTAGTAGTAGTAGTAGTAGTAGTAGTACTTGCAGTACTAGTAGTAGTCGTGGTAGTAGTAGTAAGTCTTAGTAGTAGTAGTAGTACCAGTAGTACTAGTAGTAGTACTAGTAGTTGTAGTAGTAGTACTAGTAGTAGTAGTCGTAGTAGTAGTAGTAGTGGTGGTAGTAGTAGTAGTAGTAGTAGTACCGTAGTCGTAGTAGTATAGTTAGTAGTAGTAGTAGTAGGAGGAGGAGGAGGAGTTGAGGAGTGATTAGAACGGCTTAGAAAGAGGGGGGCATGGGGGTGGGGGACAAATAAAGTGTAGGGAGGGGGTAAAAGGAATTATGATAGGCACTGCTGCTGCTGCTCCTGCTGCTGCTGCTGTTCCTGAACCTCCTCCGCCTCCCTCCTCCTCCTCCGCCTCCTCCTCCTCCTCCTCCTCCCCCGCTGTGTCCCCCCCGTCCTCCCCTCCTCCCCCCCGCCGTCACTCCTGCCCGACGCCCCCCTCCTCCCCGGGCCGGCGACAGCCTCCCTGATACCCCTTTGCATGCGAATCGCTGCCGCAGACATGATCGCGCGAGCCCGGGCGTAGTAACCTTGCACGACGCCCTCATGGATATTGAGCTGCCGCACTGCCACCGACTCAGGGACCCCTTCAGCGGCTAGCCACCACGCCATCACGCACATCGACACGCCCTTGCTGCCCTTCCCAAGCAGGCCAGAGAACAACGGATTGTGCAGAGCCACGGATTGGTGCACGCGGCACACGCCACACGCGTGCCACGCAGTCTCAATGATAATATCCTGCCCCTTTTCAGCATTGCATCGCAATTGGCCCAGCTCCTTCTCCCCGCCCTCGAGGAAGCTCGACTTCTTGGAGGATTGGCACTTCCCTCGCGGGCACGGCGTCCCTTTCAAGTCGTGCAATATGCCAGCGGACACGAGGTAGTGGACGAACTCTTCTGGGGACCACCGTGCCATTTGCACAAAGTCCGTGTCAATCGGGGCCCTCGCCATCTTCTTCGCCCTCTCTACGTACTCCCGCGTTCTGATAGATATTTGCGTGTACTTCAGCCTGGCGACAAGTGCAGCAGATCGGCGGTTCCGCATGTAATCCACGACGGCCTGGCTGCGGCAGTCCTCCACGACCTCGCCCTGCAGCGATTTGTTCGGGCACTGCGGCCGCTTGTGCTCCACGCTCCCACATCTGGCACAGTGCGGGAGAAGGTACCTGGCTGCCGACACTCGTTTTCTCTTCTGCTGCTGGTCCCGCGGGGGCGCTGCAAGCGCCGCCACGGCAGTCTCGCTGGAATGCATGGCCAAGATTTCGGTGGCCTCGATGTGCTGCGCGACCCGCAACTTGGCGATTTCCGGATGCAGGGGCTTGTCCTTGTCCTCCGCCGCCTTCGCGATCATCCCCCGCGCTCTCTCGACCATCAGCTGGGGCCTCTTCGCCAGGAGCCCCTCGAGGAGGCCCTCCTTCTCAAGAGCACACCTCAATGTCAGCTTCTGGTCCAGGATGTTGTTCCTCCAACTCATCAACCGATCAAGGTAGCCAGGGTCCCCCTGAAGCACACTCCTCAAGGTGGAACCAGAATGTTTCCCGAAATCAAAGCGGTACTCCTCCTGAGATTGCGGCGCCTCCGGAGGTTTCCACCCCGCGTGGTGCCTAGCCTTTGCCTTTGCAACTTTTCTCTCCTTGGCCAAAGCAGGGTTCGCGAGCTCCTCCACAAACTCTTGACGCAGCTGCACCATCTCCTCCGGCGTCAGCACGTCGCGGCTGTCGGCGTGCGCCTTGCTAGGTGGCCTGCGGCTTTTGTGGCCTGTCCAGTCTCGGAAAACTCCGACGCATAGTCCGCAATCCGCCACCCATGCTGGGCCCAAGCGCTTTGAAGTGCCGTGCGCTGTCTGGCAGGGGCGTCGGCTGTTCTTCCCTGGGGGGCCCCGGGAGGACCCGCGCGGACCGCCACTCCCCGCGATGCTGCGCTGGCACGAGGGCGGGGCTGGCTGTAGCCAGATGGATAGCCTGCGCGCTTCTTGATGACCCTCCACTTTTCGAGGTCCGCGGCCGAAAACTCATCGTCCTCCGCCTGGCCCTCCGAGCCCTCCGCGCCAGCCGCCGCTGCGGCGGCGGCGCCTGCCGCCGCAGCAGCCGCCGCGATCCGCCGCGCGCCCTGGCCGCGCCCCGCGCCGCCGGACGCCTCGGCCTTGGCGTTCGCCGCCGCCGCTGCCGCCTGTAGTAGGGCACGGCCTCGGCGAAGCCGTTGCCGTCGCCACCGCCGCCGCCGCGTGCACCAGAACAAACGCGATCGCTCCCTGCCGAAGAATATCGCGGTGGTGTCTGTGGTGTTGTTGCTGTGGAGCTCCAAGACGCCCAAGTCGGAGCCGGTGATGATCGTGATGGTCACGGTGCTGCTGCTGAGGTCTGGCGTGCTGCTCACGGCGAAGCCAACTGGATCCTGCGCGCGAGAAGGCAGGTAAGCATGCACCGCCACCACGCCAGGCCAGGGCCATCCTGGACCCCGGCATGGTGTATGCGCCCTCCTGCCTTGGGCAGGAGGGTCGATACAGCATCCTGCATCCCCTACAATCAACAAACACCCCAAAACAAATCCAAAGAACCAAAAAGGTAAGAACCAAAAAGAACCAGGATGGCCCTGCTGAGGCATGGTGGTGGTGCGTGTAGCTTCCCTCTACGGATCCTGGACCGCCAACAACAACAAACACAA